AACTAACAGCTGTGGCTTCCTTTATTGAGACAATATGTCTCATGATAGGTCTTCCTCTCTTCCAGCTGTCCCGCCCCCACCTTTTGCCAGCAATATTGTCTTTTCTGCTCAGCTCTATATTTTCACTAGATGTGCATAGCAGGATAGCCTCAGTTTACTCATTTACTATATTTTCATTAGATGTGCATATCAGGATAGCCTCAGTTTACTCTCTAATTGAGAGTTCAGGCTTGAACACTCACTTTTCTGCCTTTCTGGCTGGTTATGGTATCTGTAAGGCTCTCCTCCAACACTAAATTTCAAATGAGTTGATGTTTGTCCCTGCTTTTCTTTCACATAGCATAAATCCTTTCGATCTTAGTTTCCAGTGACAGTCTTTGTTTACTCCTAACTCTTCCCCCCTTTTTTATTACAAAAACTGAGGAGACACCTTTTGGAAAATATGCACACAACATGTTCGTAGAGCTTTTAGTCTCATGTAGCTTTTCTTCCTCAGATTGCCTACCCCAAGGAAAGGGTTTGGAAATTGTAATACAGCTTTATAGTCTGCATTCTGCGGAGCGGGCATAGTAACATTAATTTACCTGAGTAGTAAAAGTTTGTGCATGTTTCTCTGTTGTATGTGTTGCACTAACTCATACCTTTGCTTCATTATTTGATTGTACAAAAACAGCCCCTCAAAATATTTTGACACAGAGGGACCACAGCCATGTCCCAGCTGTTCTTGGTTCTGTCTTCTCCCTGCAACCATCATACAGATTGAATGCTCATCTTTTGAGATCCTCTAGCTCTAGGTAATTCCATATGAGGGAAGTTTCTATTGGAATTTGTGTGCAGTGTATGTATACTTAAACTAAACTTTAGTTCTTAAAAAACAACAACACACCACTACCCTGTTTTTGAATTTGGAATATTGTGCTTCTGTTTCCATGGCTCAAAATGCCAGGAAATGGTTTGAGCACAAAAAGGGATCCTGTAGACCATCTTGACTATTGCCATTAGTGTTGTCAACATTAAGGCTGCCCTTTGCTATGTAATATTTGGCATCCTATGTCTTGTGAAAACACAGGCATAATGTTGTGCAGCAATATTAGGCCATTTCCTGGATGTTCTGAATAATGAATGCAGAAGCACAATATTCATAAATTGGAGGTGTGGTTTTTCGTTTTGAAAAACTGAATTATTAACAACTGCCTAAGTAAATGGTTCACACCAACAGTGGGGTGGGAAAAACAACAACTGCAGTCTTCCAACAGTCTATCTAGAGAGGAGCAACCATTGCTGCATACTATTCCACTAAAGCTTCTGGCTTTGCTACCAGCTGTTGTGTTGCGTTGTGACCAGGGGAATGCAAGAGAGCACAGCTCGAAGACTTATTTCAGAACAGGAGTGGTGGTGTCGGGTGCCAAACTGACAGTGCACCCTCTCTGCTTTGGCAAGTGAATGAAGTGATATTGAAGTTTTCACATTTTATTATCCTTTGTTGCCCGTTAGCATACAGGAAACCATGAGAATGGAGAGAATAATCAAGCAGAAGCTGGGTATTTCCCTTTTCTTTGAATTAATGTCTAGTGCTTTTGAGCTTTGTTTTGGTCTAATTGTATGCAGATACCCTCTTTACGAGTTACCGTAGCTTCCTTTCATTTGATGAGGTTTCTACTTCACTCTAGCTGCTGAAATGATAATATTTTTGTGCAAGGCAGTTTTAATTCCTTGAGGCGGTCCTTAAGAGATCCAGTTTCTAATGCCCATTCTACTATGAAGCTCATAACCTTGGGCTAGTCACCCCCTTCTCAGTCTGATCTACGTTACAGGTTTGTTGTGAGGATGGTGTGAGCAAGGAGGAGGAAAGGTCATGTATGCCACCTTGGGCTTACTGGAGGAAAAGCGTCTTATAAATATTACCAATTAAGCAGAAGCTGGACACTTTCCTTTGCCCCCAAATATTGTAGAATTTAACTGAGTGAGTATAGACTTGTACTATAGTAATGGGGTTTTTTTTACAAACACAGACATGCACACAACATTACAGTAAATTCAGCACAAGAAAAACAATCTAATGCACACATATTTTGGGACACTTCTCTCTTCTCTACTCGTATGAACAGGTGAATAAGTGGCAAGAGGGATCTTTACATTCCTAAACGCTACAATTCTCAAATCCCAGACTTAACTGTTCTGTTAGGAGTACAGTTAAGTAAGGCCACAATAGAAAAGTTTCACCGTAGCAACAGTGAACAAGCAGTAGAGTTAAAATGCTATTTGGAGCTTCCACAAAGGGATGTGTGCTCCGGATCTCTTTATCATGAGTTACATCCTTTCAAAGCAGAGTAGAAAGGAAATTAGAGACCTTCCTTTAGCAAAAATGTGCTTTCTGCATTTGTTCCTTAAAACCAGATGCACACTCCCAATCTTTTCAAAGTTAAAGCAAACAAATAACTCTGTCAAGTTCTTGACAGAAGTATAGCCTATAGGAGATTTGGGCGGGCGACACAAAACTGGCCCCTGGAAGCACGGAAGTATTCCACTCCTAATTCTCATCTAATTAAGCAAATATTTTCAATTTTATTTAAGAAACTAAGGCATCTCCTAAGGCCCACTGCAGAAAGAAACTCAGTCTGGGATGGCACCAATCAAACTTCCATTTGCTATTTTATTTTTTTATTTTTATATGTTGGTAGAGATCTTGGCAAGCCAGAGTCCATGATGGAAGACAGGGGAGGATGGGAAAGATCATTGATTGACTGTACAGTTTCCCACAGTAAGGACTGTGACAGACCAGTATCTAAGTCCTACCAGAGTTATTGCTTGTCAGAGGACACGTAATGTGTCGATTAAAAAAAGAAAAAAAATATTTTTCCCACTTGCCTATTCGCTCTTGCATGCAAAAAGTATATATATATGCCTCGACAGACTAAAGATTCTATATTGTCAGGTGTCGTCTGGGATCAGTGCCCAGGCCATTGATTCACAAAATGCAACAGTGCAACTACTTCCAAGACCTACAATCTACTGCAAACAGCAAGTATGATGAGATAATCAAGAAATCATAACTTTGCCTAACAGTTCTTCCCTTACACTTTTCCCCCCATGCCAATAAGAGACTAATTTTTATACCTCCTATACTTGTCCTTTTACACAGAGGCTACTACCCTATGATTATAAAACCATATGACCAGATGGTTTTAGTCTCATATAATAATCATGAAACTGACTTCTGAGGAAAGACACATAGGACTGAGTTGTCAATCAACAATGTGAGGAGAAAGAACAATTTTTCTAATCCACAAGTGACAGAGGATGGTTCTTATAGATTTAGGAAACACATGCACTTCTGAAAATAAGCAGCTGCCAGAGGCAGTGAGCAGAGCCTCCACTATACTAGGAACCATTCTGAATACACTGAATAGAGATATATAAATATTTCGAGATGAATGACATGTCAACCCTAGGTTTTCTAAGGCTACATTTCCTCACATAAAATAAATAAATGTTTCTTCCACTTCTGCTCAGTTTCATCATCTGAAGTAGGGGTATGATTAATTTTTACTTATTAAAAATACTTCTAATCTCACCTTAAGCATCTCCATTAAAAAAAAAATCAATGCAGCTTACAATTGCTTAACAAATCTAAGAATCTTAAACATTACAAAAATACTTCAAAATTAAGAACCGGGTAATACAGTGGGGTCTTGACTTAAGAACGGCTCGAGTTAAGAACATTTTGACTTAAGAACCGCTCTCATAGGAAAATATTGACTTGACTTAAGTACTTAGATTTGAGTTAAGAACTGAAAAAAACCACGTGGGAGGCAGGGAAAGTGCAAAATGTGACCTTTCAGTTAACTGCTGGCCAGTGAAAAGGGTGCCTGTCTGCTTCCTCACTCCTCCCAGCATTTAGAGAGTGGATTGGGAGACGGTCTTCAGACTGCCTGGTACTGCCTGGACTGTATTTTCCCTGCCTTCCCGAACCTTTCTTGACCTAAGAAAAAAAGAAACAAAATATCCCCCTCTAGTGGTCGAAGGCGGAATAGCAGCTTCCCATTAGTTTCTATGGACGGAAAAGAGCAGATACAGATCAAATGGTTTTCAATGCATTCCTATAGGAAATGCAGATTTGACCTGAGAACTTTTTGACTTGAGAACCGCCTTCCAATACGGATTAAGTTCTCAAGTCAAGACCCCACTGTATAACACAAAATGGTATAAAAACAAGGAGTCTGTTTAAAAACTTTCTTTGAAGTGAATTCAAAACAGTGAAATATAAATAGGAGAGAAATGTGCTAAGAGAAAAATCTAATCACTCAGAAGTCAGCCCCATTGATCTGTAGGGAATTTACTTCTGTATCAAGCTGTACGTGAGTTCATAGTTTATCAGTATGAATCTATGGCAGAATCACACTGGTTATTTGCATTAATCTAAATGCAATGGTGTAAATTCCATGAGTGAATTGCTAGTTAATGAGTCACCACCTGCATTTCTTCCTAGTATGCCAGTTGCGTGACCTAGAACAAAACAATAAGTCCAGGTGGTGACATGTTACTTAGCAGCAATTTGCTACTGTGAATTTTACTATTGAACTAAAGCCAGTATAAATAATCAACAGAAATAAACCTACTTAGAAATAAGCCCCACTCAATTCATGGGATTTATTCCCAGAGTCAGTAGCTATATGACTGAAGCATACAGCTGCATTTCTAAGTAGGCTTAATCAGAAACCAATATCGATGTGAAGTCAAAGATTTGCTAATTTCACACAAACACAGGATAATTGATTATATAGCTCTTAGACTACAACCTTGGAGGAGCTAACATTCTGTGGCATACCTCAAAAATAAGATGCCCATCTCTTAATTTCTTATTTCATATAAGTTATTTTGAAAACATGGTTGCACAGTACTCCAACCTCAGCTCCCTTATTAAATTCTATATAAAATATCATTAATTTAAAAATAAGAAATACTGAGAAACAATAAAAAATAAATCAACAGCAACTTACCAAGGTTTATCCCTTGATACTTTTGAAGAAAAGATCATGTGCTGTTTGTTAGTGGAGGTAATTAGATTGTCTTTGGGCATTTTGAATGGCTTTGAGTTGCTGTTGATGGGGTTATGGCCGCTGATACAGGATTTCGGTTTCATCTGTATTAGTGATGCCCTGGAATTGCAGGGTGGAGAAGCTGGAGATGGGGAAGGTTTACACATTGAACCGTGTCTTCGTTCTAGAGCAGAGAGGGAAAAAATACCAAAGACACTAAATATATACAATAAATGCACAAAGTATGAATGAAAGGAAAGAATGCAAGACATATAAAAATTACAAATTCACAGCAATCTCCGTTACAGTGGCTGAAGGTCTGTAGTAATTAATGACTAGGTTCATTTGCATCAATGAAACTTATGGAGGAGTTGACTCACCTACTAGTTCAGTGGGCCTACTCTAGTTGTGACTTACTACTGAATTTCAGCCACTAATCTGCCACAAATATAACAAAACTAATTAATAGCCAACAGATGGCTAGCATTCTGTTTCACAGCTCCACTGATGTAGTGGGAATGACATCAATAGCAGTTGCAAATTGCCGCTAATTAAAGAGATCCTCCTTCAATTTCACATAGTATGCGACTTGGTCTCATGGCACATAAGTCTTTAATTAGTGGCAATTTGCCTCTGTCAATGATGTTGCTGCCTCTATGTTGAGGGAGCTACAAAACAGGAGACTGGACCTTATTATGTAGTGCCATATCATTGCCAGGGTAACACCTGACAGTGTCAGTGAACTGACTATGGGATACAGAAGCCAAAATTCTCTTACCAAAATATAATTATTACCGATGCAATATTTTTTTTCTAGTCTCATTTCTAGATTTGTAAGGAATAACAGAGAAATTTGGTATTGGGCAAATAATTTTAAGTGTCTGAAAATGGAGCCAGAAATTCGCAGAATCCTACTGCTATTTTTTTCCAAATCAGAAAAGAGCTGTCACAGAAAATAAATGATGTGGCCTACATGTATGTATAGTGTAGACTGTACTGGTTTCATCACTGGATTCAATACATGAGAGGGATCTAGTATTCAAAATAACACCTCAGAGATCTATCACAATCTTGGAAACATTCTGAAACTTTTCATCCATTTTCTATTTTGTCTCTGGTTCGCCTGCCTTCAGTGTAGGCAAAATAATGTTCAGTGATCCAAAGCCTCAAATATTAGGCTGCTAACTTGTTCATAATTTGATTTATAGTTACAGTTTATATATGCTAATTCTCAGTGGAGACCAGTAATTACCACATTACAGGAAATGCCACATTCTGCCTTTGCAATGAGAAGGAAATACGTAGGGTGAAATTAAAATAACTGAATCTTTATGGTTACCCCTAAAATGTTCATGCAAGTTAATACAGCATTGTTTAGACACCCAAAAAGCAGAAAAGGGGCCCATATTAATTATTCACTGAGTCTTGCAGCAAAATTAAAATGAAAGGCCCATGTAATGGCCCTTAAAGGTCAATTTCTCTCCAGCCACTATAAGGGGAAAGGAAAAGGTACTTGGAGTACTGAAATCAAGGCCCTCCCTTAAGAATGTGTTCTCTTCAGTTCCTCAGCATATTCACGTCTCAAATGTCTAAGCTGATCTCACTGGATGATATAAAACATGCAAGTATTTTAATATACTGTACATGCAAGAGACAATTCCCTGTTTTAGTTAACATAATGTTACACATTCAGGTCTAAATTTATGTTGACAGATTATGAAGTTGGATAACTGTATTTTTTTTTAATCGCCAAGGAAAAGCAACACATGTTCAGAACTTGCCACAATGTATATCTCACACAAAGTATTATGAGCAACAGTCAGAAAAAGACATTAAAAAGTTTTTTTAAAAAAATCAGATCCTGTGAGTCTTCTACTATCCTGAAAGGTCTGAATGTGTGGAAGAATCATGCCTTGAAGGAATAAATATTTGTTTCTGTCTATTTTTACAAAGTCAGGCTGTTTATTCCATTTTTTTTAAAGTCAAGCATATCAGGCACTATTATAATCCTGATTCCAAAGCATTTGATTATAAAGACAAAGAATATATTGTCATTCCTGTTCACTATACAAGTTTGATCACAGTTAACTGTAGTTAATTGTTAATTCTGCCTACTTTAGATAACTATCAAATTCAATGTTAAGATAAATACTTGGTCCTCATAACTAATCAATTTTTCTTTTCTACAAAGGGGTTTCCCAAGAAATGTGTGCCTCATTTGCAAAGCAAAGCCATATTAATCACCAATCATAAAACAAAATACACTAAATGCAAGATATATACATAAGTGAGGAAAAAAATCAAATGCTATGACAAACAGATGTCTTTCAGCTCTTGTGGGAATGCCACCACAAAATAAAAATATGATAAAGGCATCTAGTTATTCAACCTAATTAAATCTTATGCACTTACCTGAACTAGGGAGACTTAAAAATTGAGGCCTAAATCAAATTGCTAGTCATAAATAAAATAGCCCCACTGAATAATCTGTTGGATGCTGAGGCAACAATAATGTAATTACTGTACCACTGATGCAATGGAGATACCATAGTTGGGACTAGCAATTGGGGTCAGTCTTTAGTTCTTAACTGTATGCTTTTGTGAAACTATGCATAACTGATACGTATTATGGTAGAAAAAGTATTCTGAAACGAAAAAGTGAGGGCTAAGAACTGCAAATTATAACTCTTAACGATTTTCTTTCCTATTAATGCCATGGGACTAATTAATCACTTGCTCCTGAAAGCAAAATAATTTTTTAGAGCAAATGAAGAAGCTGCTATCTAAAGATAACAACTCATATTAAAAACCATAGCAATGACAAACAGAGAACAGCAGGAAGTTAAGTAAATTTCACCAGATAGCCACACGATGCAATCAGTGTTAAAAGTGGAGAAAAGCTACAAAATTCTATTTTAAAATGCCTTTCTGAGCCACTGAAGGTAACATCATCACCCCAAGTAGCTCCTTGTAGGACCGTCGCATTCAAGCAAGAGATGAAAATGTTATTCTTCTAGTGAGTGTTTGGTGGAAATTATAAAACAAATACTGATGGAGGGGGAGAAACTTGCAAATAGTTGGGAGGTCCTGTGAAATATGCTCCCTCAGCAATATTTGACAAACCTCTGTGAAAGAGCATGAAGCTTTTTATAAAAGAAAGGGCTATAGAGTAAGAAAGGTGGGAATACGTCCCCCCCCCAAATTAGGATAACAAATCCTCACCCTATCTAATCATGCATGCTTAGTTGAGGAAGAATGTATATGAGGATGTGGAATCGTGTCATGTTCCAAACAATAAAATGACAAATGGACACAATAAAACAGGTCATGTCAGTCTGACTGCCTTGGCAAAGAATATGGGTTCCCTCTCCCCATTCAAATTAAAGGCAGTTAGAGAGGTTAGTTTCCTTCAGTGTCATCACCATATACACAACTCTGACTATACAGATACCATGTCATTATGATTACTCCTTGATCCCTAATTGGTTGGGATCATACAATGAATAAATCTTTGTAAGTTAAAAAAACTGGGATTGAGGCAGTAGATATTTTGCAAACTAGTATTTGCTTTTTTTGTGCAATAATGCAGAAAGCAATCAGGGAGAACGTTCTTTCTTTCTTTCTTTCTTTCTTTCTTTCTTTCTTTCTTTCTTTCTTTCTTTCTCTCTCTCTCTCTCTTTCTCTCTTTCGGCAATTCCACCTAAAACTGTATCTTTTGCTTTTAGAAACGAACCCGTGAAAATATGACATCATATTACATGAAACCATGCAGAATAGTAAGCGTTTCCCAATGTTTTCATTTTGCCAGACTACCATGCTGTATTATGGGTGCATAATCAATATACTCTAATCAGGAAAACTTATACAATAAAGAGAGAGAGAGAGAGAGAAACCACATTTTGGTTGCTCACAGAATTACTGTTTAACATACAAGGATGGATTCTGTCTTCTATAAGACTGTGAAGCAGCTTAATCTCTCAGACATCCCTTTACAAGCCAGCAATTTTGTAAGTGACCGCCTTAGTAACTGATGTGACTTATATTTCAGCTTAAAATATTGGAAGTTAAACAAAACACCAAGCATATTTTAAAAGAAAGAAAAATTGTGCAAAGAGTTGGAGAACTCAAGTCACTAGTAGACATGAATAACAGGCAGAGGATTCAAAGCCAATGATTGTAAACACCTTTTTTAAGGACTTTCACTTTCTCTGCAATTAAAGGCTTTTAATATCATCCATTAAGTCAGATTTTAAAAGAAAAGGAAAAAAGATCGGTAACATGGTAGAGAATAGTCTAGGTGGGGTAACAGATACCCACACACATATACATGAACAAACACAAAGCTGTATGAAAGAATCTGACAAAAAACTGCTTCAGGTTCAATTAAAATCTTCCAGCTTTATCTACCGAACTGTGTACTGGTGAAAAGGAAATGGCAGTCCCATGTAGTTTTTGTTTTGGATGTAAACTGACAAAGGAAGTGAACTGCCAGACTGAAAGCAAGTACCTCTGTTTCCAATAAAAGGCAGTTTAACAAACTTTCTGACTCCAGTGGCATGTTGAAATAACCACCATGTTATTTCCTGTTTTTGCTACACATATAAGATCATTGTATTCTGAAATAAAATGGCCAAAGAATTCTCAAATCGGGGAAGGAATCAATCAGAAGATCTACAACACATTTTGACAGAAGAAATGTAAACTAAAAGCACTTACACTGAGGCTCGGTCTGTCACATTAATCCAGTTCAGGGACGACTGTAAACAACCTGAGCTGCTGAAACACGAAATGATTCACGTTACAGACACTGTCATAGAATGACAGCAAGCCATACGATTAGGTATGCTGCAAGGGCTGGAAGAGGGCAGATGACTATTTCTGCCGACTTCAGTCACTAGTTGTTCTGACTACAGTCACGGAACACCACCAACAGGTTTCACATTCAGACATTAGAATGATTACTTTAGCAAGAACAATGCTGTTCTTGATACAGTATCAGTGTCTTTTATTTTTAAAGGAGATTTAAAAAAAACTATTTGTAAAAGGGACACCCGCCCATTAACAAAACGGAGAAAGAGTTACTGCTGGAAAATGCTGTGGGTGACCAATTGTGAGATTACTAATTGGTCAGGGTAGAGATATGACCATTAAAAAAAAAACTCCATAGCCTTTTGTATTTTGAAA